AGACGGAGAGCAGTAATGCGATCAGCAAGATTCGATAAGACAAGCTGGTTGGTATCCGTCTGCCAGCCCATTCATTTACCGCAATTCGAAGGCAGAGTGCATCTGTGGATGTAGTGCTCCTACTCCACTATTTTCTCGCGCCCACTCCGTCTTGACAAGTCCCCGCAATTGTTTTCCACAATCATTTCACTGATCCCATGCAAATAGCAAGGGAATGACCAAACCCGATTTCCACAAACACCGTCCCTCTGGATGCCAAAATAGGCGACTGAACAGCGCTGCTCTCTTCCCTATTTCAAACCCTCCTGCTCCCGTTCAGCGGCGATTCCATGAATGTGCTGGATAGGGCTGCACGGGTTCGGATCGGATCGTGTGCGAGAATTTATCACCCATTCAGCTGTAGTTTAATTTTCACTTTCAGTTAAAAGCAAACGAATCCCAGCACACATTCATAATCACGTTCACACAGAATTCCAATTCCCGTCACTGGCGCTTCCTGCAACTGACTCTTCGAAGTTACGCCCGACGACCGTCCACCCTCCCCATATTTCTACCTGTACCATGGATGACCCTGTCGTACCACCAACATTTTCTCTTTCATTCCCGCTCCCCTCCGTGCTCCGCTGGATACCATCCTACTTCGGTATCATTTTTTATCACTTCTCCTGCACCCCGGCTTTCCCCCGCTGATCCAACTTCCTCGCTTGTTCCATTCATTCCTCGTTCCTTTCTGGGATACTCTATCATCTCGGCTTAAAGCAGAAGAAACATTAAGTATCGTGTAGATAAGATGTGAATTTTTTTACAGCACAGATGGCTTGCTTATCGATGCAAAAAACATAGCAGGCCTGTATAACATATACATTTGAAGCAAGATACCAAATCAATTCATTTCTTAGACCAAATCAATTCATTTCTTAGACCTGGAAAGTCATCATTTTCATGCTTTTTTCATACCTGCGTACGTTGGCCAGAGGTTGCCGGTGTGTGTGCTCAGCAACCATAGAAGCTTGGAAGTTGAAGTTTTATGTAGATCCCGGCAGCTTAAAATCAACTTTCATGCGCACCTGGGTGTCGCGACAGACGTCTAAAAGTCAATGTGTATACTTTTTTTTGACGGGAAAACGATTACGAGGGCCAGATAGGACAGAAAGCTGAAACCTTACGTACATATTTTCTGTCCATGTGCGAGCAAAAGATCTCAAATTCAGTATTACGTCAAATTTGAAATCCAGACACCGCTGGTAAAATTCCAACTCGAGAATCAGGGTGAGTTGAGTGCTCTGACTTCAAGAGAGCCTTTGTTGGTCATAAAGGAGTAAATGAGAAATAAACTTCGACGTGCGCTAATCCCCTTAACATATCTACGATAAATTATACTTGAAAAGCTCTCGTTATATTGCGTTTAATTTACAGGCATAATAAAAGGGGATATAGTAGTCGTGCCATATTGCGCCAAGCATACTGTATCTAAATATTAAAACTATACGGTCAACATATTGGTGATTTTTGCTTTGTTTCTCTGGCTTCTTTCGCATACCCGATGAAATGCTTACGTATACTGTTCTCGCTTCTGCTGCCTGCCATCATAACCACTCAGAATGCTTCTGCGCTTCTCCCTATAGTTACGACGAGTTATTTTAGGAAGTGTTAATCCTATAAGAGTTTCTAATCCATCGGCCAATGCCTGTACAGGATCCTGCAGTGAAAAAATGAGAAACTGGTACAGCAAGATGAACTAGCTGGGGAACTAAAACGATGATAAGAGAGATGTGATGAATCGCGAGAACAATTTTCACTGAAGTCTACAGCAACCGAAATCATGTACTTTTTTACAGGCGTACTGGGCTGGAATGAACGTTCGCCTGGTGACTGCATGGGCACTAACTGCATGTTGCGCACTAACGGTCGGCGCGGATCTGCCAAGCTGTGATCGGGCTAGATGCCATCACTGTCGAGTGCCATTCATCGCCAAAATGTGCCCAGAAACTTGTGAGCCGTGCCCGAAGGAGAAATTTTTGCTGGTTCATGCATTTTTCGCTTCAGTCTTCGCTTATTTATGGACAGAAAAACTGCTACTGAAATACTTTCCATCTGAAATGCTCAGTTCCCTTTTCGAAAAGTTTCAAATTTCGTATATTTGCAGGACAACGAACTTCCGGCAAAGAAAACTCCGGATGGAACGACGAAAGACTTCAGGCAACAACAAAAGAAATTTCCTCGCAAGCCTCATGTAAGATTTCGCTGAGAACCCCTCGTTTCGCTTGTTTGTAAAAAGAAGTTATTTTTTACAAAAAAGCGAAACACAGCCATTTTCTTTCAATTTTTAGAAGTCGATTCGTGCCCATTTTTGTAACCAGCCAATGCTACTCTTTTCTAATAAATAAAAACAACGAAAAGTTTATACATATCTGCTCCCTTATCTTCTGGATTTATCCCTGAAGATAAAGTAACCTCGAAAATAATCCAACCAGAATTTGTATAAATTTCATTAAACTCAATAAAAATTAACTTGGGCTTGCAATATGAACTGTGCACAAAGTTATTTTCGTTCATTATCATGTGAAGGTGTAGGAAAACAAATTCGCGCAAGACAACATCAACAATATCCATATCTACATAAACAAACCTAAGGCTCCTGCACGGCTCCATAGAAACCTAAGGCACGTGCAAACTTCTCGAGAGTAAGATTTATCCCGGACAGGTTA